AGAATAGCAAAGTTCAAACAAGATATTTTAGATATGGGTATAGGAAGGTATTTCAGAATCTGTGACCTCTTAACAAATGTGGTGTGATCAGTTTATTAGCCTGAGTAGATTTTGGGCCATATATCACCCTAGAACTTGGACCCCACGCAAACATACAACTCAAGAGACTATAAATAATACATAGAATCTTCTTCCAAGGTTTTCCTTCTTTTTGCAGCTCACTTTTCGTTAACAAAACGTTTTTCTTCGCCAATTTTGATTTTTTTAATTTTTTACATACAAAGGTAGATATTTTTTTTTGTTTTTTGAATTCAAAATAAATGAATTGCAAAACTTTTTTAAAAAAAAGTATAGTGAATAAAAAAATTATTTAAGGATTAACCATACAGGGTGAATCTTAAATAAGTGTAAGTATTTTCAGTTGTAATACAGGATATTTCAAAAAATATTTATCATCACTCTTTTCTCACGTAAAAATAATTTTTTTTTTATATCAACATAGGTCCGATTCTGCTTTGTTTCGTACTTACAGGGTGTTAAAGACTTAATTTTTTTAGGTTTATTATATAGTGGTTCAAATGAAATTTTGATGGTAAAAATTACTATAAATGCTAAAAACTGTCGACAGATTCGCCAGGGACGTGCATATGAGTTATCACTGGAATATTTTTCTGTCTATCTATTTCTTTCTTTTCTCCTGTTAGTAGAATAATTATGTAGGCCGTTTAATGGCGATTAAAAGCTGTATCTAGATATTTTGTCTATATCGATCTCCTTGATGAGAAAAATGCTTTTGAAATTATCTCTGTATTTAAAATATAATTATTATTATTTTTTTTTAAATTAAATAACTCGGTCAATTATAATTAATTAAAGGCTTATAATAATTATAATAATTAAAGGCTTACTTAAGGGACACCCTGTATAGATAAAGGGGAATAAATAAAAAATCAATAGGTTTTCATAAAACACTTTTAATAAATACATTTTTTCTGGCTTTTCAAATTATGTACAGGTTTCTTTAATTTTAATATTAAACAGTGCCGTGCGTAGGGGAACTATTTTTTTGTTAATATACCCGTAGAAAAAAAAAACATAAAAATAAAATAAGTCAAATGTTCGTCTCTTTAGTGTAATATTATAATCACATACAAATTAAATATTTTACACAGTGCCATTTAATAATTATAGTAAAGAAATAAATATAATCTTACGAACTGAATCAAAATCACTATATATTTTTTCATTAAGAGAAATAAAAATATATATGCATTAATTCTAGTATCTACGCCTCTGGCACCACCCCCCTGCGCACGACACTGGTATAAGTAACACATTCAAATATTTTTATCACTACAAGATGAATAATGTTACAGTTTTCCTATTTTCAGAATTTTTTAAATTTAATTTAAATTTTCTATTACAAAAAAAATTGTATACAAACAGATATAAAAAATTAATTTTGATATTTTATTTATATTTAAATTAATTTAAAATAAAATATTACTTCACTGACATGACAAATTATTAATTGTAACGATCTTTGACAATCGCCATTTTAACATACAGGGCGATTAAAAGAAGCAACCCAATAATTTTTAGAGTATCAGTTTGATAAAATCTGAACAGAAAAAGTAATGTTTTTAACTAATATATAATTTTATACACTTACTTTCCTAGTTATACAATAAATTTTACAGCTCACTGTACATAACGGTTATATTGACACTGGCGACGCTACTGAAACGTAACGCAACATTTTTATATAATATTATCAACTAATTATATATTTGTTTATATCTATTATACATAAAAAATCGTTCTAGTACATTTAAACATTTATTATTTACATTTATTTACACCTTATTGTTAAAGCTGAAAACTGTTTTTTTTTCTTTCGTTTATTTATATAATATATTTAACATTTTTTACACAAGTTATTGCTTGAATGCACATCAGAGGGGTCTATAGGGGTACCAATAACTTTGAATCAAAAGATTAAGGAGGGAGTATAATGTTATTCATGTATGTATTCATGCATTACAGACAGAATTGACATCATGAACAATTATCAATCATGACAGTGAGGAAGATGCATATATTTTATTTTTCGCCAGAAATTGTTCAATTTATTAGAATAAATATGTGTAAATGCAAAAAAAAAAATTTTCTTGAAAGCAGTACCACAATTTTATAAAACTGGCCATTAAAATACTATGGATAGCACAAACGACGCCTCGCGAATTGAAACGATATTCTATTGGTCTGACGTCACCCGCCGTTCTCGTCGACGGGCGATGGCCAGCAGCAGCCAGACGTGTTCCGTTTATGTACGTATTTAGGTGGCGTACTAAGACATTTTTGTTGCTTTTAGCGTTGATTAAAGGAGCTTTTTATGCTTTTTTGTGCAGTTATTATTTGTATGTGTTGTGTGTTCTGAGAATTTTTTAAGTAATGGCAGATTCCGGGTTTGTAAAAGCACAATCAGATAACTTGCCAAAAGTCGATGCTTTTATGTTGGCTGCTTTTATAAATACAAATTCCCAATTTATTGGTGCTGAATTACGAGGAGAAAAACAGAGAGGTATGTAACATTTATTCTTTGTAGTACTGATGCATATTTAAGTATAAGTAGGTACCTACTGTTACGAACTTTTATATAATTATAAATTAATGTTATAAACTTATTTTTCAGATCAGGTAGGGAGACTTATATGAGACTGTATGGAGATAATGCTGTAGGTTATGTAGAAGTGAAAAGAGACAAAAATATTTGTTTAGTACGTGAAAAATAACTCCAGAGCATAGCGTGAAAAAGAAAGTTTTTTTTATATATTGACACCCCGTTACCCTTGTTATTTTTAAAGATTTTTTTTTACGAAATTATAGGAAATAAATTGTTTATCAGTAATGAAAATATTATACAAGGTGTTCCATAAGGAAACGCCAAAATTAAGTTACTTTTTTAAGTAAAACATCCTATATATTTTTGGATTCTTCGGAAATTTCTAGATATTCTAGATATATTTCATGTATGATATCCTATACCTATCTTCAAATGTTTACGAAATATTGACTGTTGTAAAGTGAAAAATACCTACAATTTTCTGGACCACCTTTTTTGAGACACTCTGTATAACTAGAATTAATTTTAAAAGAGAGTATATGAAAAACCATGCAACTTTTTTATTTAATGTTTTCTTCTAAAACTTGCAGTTAAGGCTGTATGTGGGTGTCAAAATATAATGAATAACCCTGTACATTCAAATTTCATATACCTATGTAAGACAATATACATAAATATATGAACTTACATCAAAATGATCTTCACAACAATAAATCGTAAAAATAGAGGATAATTTAACGTTTTTTTTTTTAATCTCTTCTCATGGCCTTGGACCATTTTTTTCTGTTTTCGCTCATCCATTACTATTTATAAATATCACTAATTACTAATTATGTATTAATTAACACAAATAACAAAAATTTTGACTCGGATTCAACAGCGTTTAAACGCAAACTGTGTAAAATAAACACGGGTCTGGCTCCACTCAACCAGAAGAACGGCGGGTGACGTGACAGCGGCAAGGCGCGGTAGAGAGCGTTTACTCGGCCATTTAAATTAACAGTATTTAATTATTTTATATTAGAGGCATTTCTTAACCGATATCAACGATTTTTTTCTTGTTCAATTTGTAATTATATGAACTATTTTTTAAAACCATTATTTAAAAACATGCATTTTCCTCGTTCTGTTTGACAATATGATTGGAGTGACGGAACGACGCACGGGCACAGATGCGTTTGAACTTGACTTAAAACTCGAAAAATCGAGAAAAAAGTAAGTATAGATGCAGACAGTTGTATTATCCACCAATAAAGTTTGTATACCTACCATCTCGTATAGGTATGATACTAAAACCGGAGTAGATGCAAAAAAGTTTCTTGAAGTTTGAAAGTAAGAAATAGTCCTTTTTTATACAGTGTGTTTAAAAAAAATGTGCCATCTCCCGTTGGGTACAAATAAGATTATTTTTCATATCGACATATGTATGTAGGTCCGATTTTGCGTTGTTTCGTAGCTACAGGGTGTTAAAGTCGTAATATTTTTTCGATTTATTATAATTTTCTTCCAAGTGCTTTTAGCGTTTTGAATGAAATTTTGAGGGTAAAAGTTACTATGAATGCGACCTATTTTAAGCTAAAAAAGTGTCGACATCTTCACCAGGGACGTGCATATGAGTTATCACTGGAATATTTTTCTAAAAAAAGAATGTACGCCACTGACTTTTTTTTCTCCCGTTAGCGAAATAATGTGAGCAGTTTAATGCCGATTAAAACTTATCTCTTGATACTTTGTCGATTTCGGCCTCCTTGATGAGATAAACGCAATTTTATTAATTTGCCTTGATCCAAAAGTTTAATAGCAGCCTTTAAAAAAAATTAATATCATTAACTTGCGAAAGTTTTAAATAAGTACTCACTGATTCCTCATCAAAAAATATATAAAAAAGTTCCTCTAAGCATGGGTACGGAAATGCATAGTTTTAGAGTTACAGGATGTTAAAACTTTTTAAAATTAAATTTTTTGTAATTTTCTTAAATACCATTATTTTTTATTTAAAATTGTTGTATGTGGACTAATAGTAATAATACTTAATAATAAATAAGGTAAAATATATAATTTATTAATTTTATATTTATTCATATTTTATTAATTGTGATTAATAAAATTGCGTTTATCTCATCAAGGAAGCCGAATTCGACAAAATATCAAAAGATAACTTTTAATTGGCATTAAACGGCATACACAATTTTGATATCAAAAGAAGAATAATCAGTGGCGCAGATGTTTTTTTTTTTTGAAAAATATTTCAGTGATAACCCATTTGCACGTCCCTGATTAATTCATCGACACTTTTTTAGCATTAAAATATGTAGCACTTATAGTAACTTTTACCCTCAAAATTTCATTCAAATCACTAAAAGTACTTGGAAGAAAATTATAATAAATCGAAAGATTATTAAGATGTTAACATCCTGTAGTTTCGAAACGAAGCAGAATCGGACCTATGTTGATATGAAAAATAAATCTTATTTTTACGCGAGGAACCTCCCCACCAGAGATGGCACATGTTTTTTGAAACACCCTGTATATGTCCTTATATTCTTCCTTAATCTTTCTATTCAAAGGTTCAATCAAATCCTGCAGCCCTTTTGGCTCTAAAAAATTGTAAATTTAAAAACTGGTAGTTGATTTTAACATGAACATGAATTATATTTTGACTCTAATAAAAAATTTCACATTTTCAAACGATTTCGTTCATAAAAAACAGTCCAAATTCCAAAAAACCTCAACCTCACTGTTGTCCATCTTTACGCGACCTTCCCCTGCGTCTGTAACTTCTCCAGTTCCTCCTCCTCTTTGGTTAAAGGTATGGTACTATGATTATACAACCCCTGCGCCATCAACTGCAATGCCAAAGGGTTTTTCTGCCCCGAAGCCTTCTTGATCTTGGCTCTCTTATTCTGGAACCATATTTTAATTTGGGCCTCGTTCAAGCCAAGTTCTGAACTGAGCTGTTGCCGTCTTCGTTCTGTCAAGTAGCGGTTCTCTGCGAACTCGTGCTTGAGCCTGGCAAGTTGGGCTCCGGAAAAGGCGGTTCTAGGTCGTTTTTCTTCGGGTACTGTTCCTTTGGTGCCGGGTTTTTTCATGCGCCTTGTTCTGGGACCTGGAAAAGAGAAAAAAAAAGGTTGAAATACTAGAGACTAGCGTATATCCGCGACTTCGTTCGCGTCGAATTAATCATTTGTAATGGTGATGATAAAGCAAAGCAATAATTTCCATTAACATACAAACTGGATAAAATTGTTTCACATTTATGTCAGCATGAGAAAAAACAACCTCCTTATCGAACCTCTCCACCCCACAGTCAATCCGTTTGTCAAAAATCAGCTTTACACGTCAAGCAGTTTTTAAGCAGAATCGTGATTATTCAATGGTCATATTTTATGAAACATCCTGTATAAATTTTTAAAAAATCTTAAAACATGTATAACAACAAAATAAAATATACGTGTTTAAGAGTTTTTCCGAAAAACTCAATTTTAAATATAAAATATTCTAATATTTGAGGGATAGTTTCACCCCCTTAGAATTCGAGTTTCGAAAAATCCCTTCCTTATCGAACCTCTACACCCTAAAGTCAATCTGTTTTCCAAAAATAAGCTTTTTACGTCAAGCACTTTAAGCAGGATCGTGATTAATCAATGACCAGATTTTTCGAAACACCCTGTATACATTTTTAAAAAATCTCAAAATATGTAAAAAACTTGACCGTTTTCTAAATAAAAAATATTGTAATATTTGAGGGGTGGTTTCACCCTCTTGGAACTGGAATTTCGAAAAATCCCTTCTTATCGAACCTCTACACCCTAGAATCAAAGTTTCCGGAATGCAGTTCGGACCACCCTGTATAGTACTCCGTGTCGAATGAAGTGAATAACACATATCTATGATATAATCATACACTAATAACCTTTTTTAATACAATTTCAACAACTTTCTTGACATGATATTCCTGAAATTAGTACTGCGACCATTAAAAGACTCAAAAACGACAGATCAAGACAGAATTAGACACCTCAAACACCCTCAATTATCCCTCTCGATCCCCCAGGGAAATGTAAGATGTCTTTAGCGGTTTCCCCCCCACCTCTTCTTCAGGAAAACTTGACATTTTCCGCCGTAATTATAACAACGTCTCCCACTTCTTAGTCTGTCTTTCCTTAATTGCTCTCCGAAGTTGTCAGTTGGGAGGCTGCTCCAAAGAAAGGCACGAAGGAACAGTTTTCAATATAACTGTCAGCTCTCACATCTTCAGTATAATTACGGTGGAAATTTTGGAGTAAATGGCGCCTTTCCGGGCTAATTTTCCAGGAATTTTGATGGTAGAATGAGGAGAGAGTGGGGTAAGAGGGTTAGAAGAAGCTTAGGAGATGAATATCATAATTAGATACCAATATTCCTTAATATTTTATGTAACCAGCATAACTTAAAGAACCACAGGACGTGCAAGCAAAATTTTTTTACAAAAATAAATTGGCGCCGGGAGGCACGTATAGCCGCCCATACTAAAATATGTTAATAAAAAGTCCAATTTTGGTCCGTGGTTCTCTATCGGCCACCTGGGGTCGCGTCCGATGGGAGTTTGGAGTTCTCCACACGGATTTTCTCAAAAACGGACTACGGAAACACGGAATATCTCAAAAACTGCGACTTTGACTGATTTTGATGTTATTACAAATATTATTGCAAATATTGTTCCTAATCTTAAATTGAAAACCGCGTTTCGCTAGCTACTATAATTTTGAAGTTACGATTTTTTAAAATTTTTAACCCCCTCCCATACTCCCTTACCATCCCCCCACCCCCACCAAAAACTAATGGCCAGATTCTCGGGTGCCACAGTATTTTTGTGCCAAATTTGGTTAAAATTGGTTTAGCGGTTTTTGAGTTATCGTGTTACAGACGGACAGACGGACAGACGGACATATGGACAGACGGACAGACGGACAGACGAACAGACGGACAGACGGACAGACGGACAGACGGACAGACGGACAGACGGACAGACGGACAGACGGACACCATGAAAATATTTTGTATTTAGGTCATTTATGACCGAAGTAACTCATTTTGAGAGATTTGGCTACCATACCCGTTGGTATGGTCGGCTAAAAATGTAAATGTGTCACAATTAATTTTTCTTTGGTGCAGAAAAAATGGCAAACATGTGCATACATTCCGAAATCTGGTAACTTTCGGCTTTGCGATACTGGTACTAAAAATTCCGCAGGCTCGTAAAGGAACGCGGCCTATCATGACACCGATTTATCGCCAGCAGTAAAAGAAATCTCGTCATTTGCAAGTTGGCCCATCAACTTTTGTGGTCATATTAACCATATACACATATACAGGGCCATAAACGTAGCGTGGCGTGGTTTATGGGGTTTTTGGTCGCCAAATGCCGACCCATAATCGACCACGGTGGTCCCAGTTGACGAGTCAATTTCCCTTCTCGTATACCGGGTGGTCAAATAAAAAATAATCGGTCATGAATGATATTTCTTTCAGCTTTCCATAAAAGCTTGAGACAACAAATACACAGCTCAGGATCTTTACTACCACAAATCAGCAGAAGAATTAAGTTAGCTTATGGAGTATACAGGGTGGTCCGAACTGTATTCCGGAAATTTGGCAGCATATTCTGCAGATAAAAATTACGACAATTAATTATTCATAAATTAATTATTATTATATTTAACGAATTAATGATACGCCACTGTTTTATGACAAAATTAAAGAAACTAAACTAAAACTAGTTTTAGTGAACCCTAATCGACATTTGATTTCGGAAAATCGACTATACGTACATACATATATCATACTTTACGCAAAATTGTAAAATTTCCAGGGATTTTGTGCCTAAACGGTTGATTTTCGCGAAAATTCTCATAGAACTTTTTTTATAGGAAATTCTATTCTCTTTAATTTTGCTCTCTTCAAATTTTTGCGAAAAACGCATAGTTTTCGAGATATTTACAAAATACCGATTTTGGGCTGGCCAAGTCTGGAAATGTGCATTTTATGGATTTTAGTTAGGGTGTAGCGTTTTATTTTTCTTTTTATAAAAATTCCAAATTTTAATATTGCTGGCGCCATCTATTCGCTAGATGTTAAACTTCATTCAGTACAGGTAGCGGTTCCTTTCCATAAAAACAAATTTCATTGAGTATAGACGATAGAGTTCACTTAATTGCCTTTGGTCATATGACCTGTCAATTCGAAGACTTCCGTTTTGCGAAAAGGAGGAAGGAGTTTTTTCCGAGAGATTGAGATCAGAAAAAGACGCGTGGTTCAGCGTCCGACGAATCTCAGAGAAAAAGGGCTTTCTGAAACACTTTTCCTAACAGTAAAGGCACGGGTATCCAAAAGTGGAGATTTGAAATCCTGTAGAATATACTGTTCAGAGCCTAGTTCGTGTTTTTTTGGCCTTTTCCTGGAATAAGATCACAGTAAGTGTATCTACCATTTTGTATCGCCATGTCTAACTAAATTTTATTTCAGTTATTCCTGTTTTTATTTATTTTGATAATGTTTGATTGTGCATTACTGGTTTGGATCAGCATATAGTTTGGCTATATTTTGGAATGTGTACAGCTGATTTTCAGACCGTAAGTTATTTTTTTTGGTATTCGGTGACTGTTCTGAGAGTTTTTTATATAGAGAACTGGCGTATAAGAAATTGACGTATAAGTAATTGGCATATGAGTAACCACTTTTGAGACAGTATTTATGACTCTACATTTATTCTACTGATATCGAAGACTCCTGCTACTATCGAAGAGTCTACATCCACTTCCGTTAGTCTGGAGACTGCCTGCCTATCTGTTCACTACGTCATAAATTAAAAAAAAAATACAGATAAGTTCTAAGTTCAACACACAAGGTATTCCCTAAATTTTTTTTACTTTGAGATAATATTTTGAATATCTCTGTGAATTGTTGTCATTTATTCCATATATTATAGTCAAAATTTACCTTTTAGTTAACATTATAAGTCATGCTTTGTCCTTAACGGTACGTTTTACTTCAGTATGATCTTTTATGTGAGAATCGCTAACACGGATTCATTTTTGAAGGTTATTGTACACGATTTGTTTCGAAACATCATCGTATTGGTACTTACATAAATTTCACCTGTTTATATATTACGTAGTATAGTATACTGAAGAGAACTTTAACTAAATTTGAGTTTACTTAAAGCAACTAACGATTTCATTGGGATAATTGAAACTGGGTTTAAACTGATTGATAATTGTGTTCGTTTTTAAATAAATGTTCAACGTAGGATAGTTATATCTGACTTTTATTCTTGATGAACATAATAGACCCTTATTGCTGTTGATTATTTTATTTTAGCTATTTCATGATCAAATTTTCTTACTGGTTTCTTACTTTACCTTTTCATACCCAAAGTAAGTGGCGCCCTTTTTACTGTCTTTGACCATTACTATTTGAATACTTAACATCAATTTTAGAATCTTTGCAGCCTATACATTATTACTTTTATTTTATTATTTAACAACATTATTAAGTCACCACAGGTCACAAGCCTTACCTACGAACCCAGCTCTCCTCTAACCCTGAGCAACGGATACCTTTTTCTTTCTGTTTGAGTGATGACAGAAAAAGTCGTCACAAGGGACCCCAAAACCTATAAACCTGCAAAGTTGCAAAACTTCCGGACTTTTTTCCAAGCAGGCCCCTTTTTTGATCCCCAATGACTGTGTGAACTATACCACTTTATCTAAAGAAGAAACCATTCGACCAGTGTGTACTACCACTCATGACCTATGCATGAGAAACCTGGACACAAAATGTTTTATTCGATACGTTTTGCCTGAACAGTTAAGACTGACAACAAAACTTTATGCGTAGAAAGGGCTTTACAAGTAAAGTGTTTTGTTGTATTGTGGTGAATTAGTGTTTTATTTTGCTGTAATAGCTTGATTCTGACTAAATATTCTTCGACTTTTTGAACGATATCTCCTGTAAAACTTAAACTACCACTCTTTCCAGGGTGATTAATGACAGTTCTAGTAAATAATACGCCTGGAGGTTTAAAAAGCACGGGCTAAGATTAAAAGGGCGAAAATTGGAATGACTTGGCAAAAAAAAGAGTAAATGGAAGAGTACACTCCAGCTAAGTTTATGGTAATACGAAGTAAGGAGGTCAGAGATAAGACTTGTTCCCTTTACTGAGGATGGTAATTTATTTTAAAAAAAAACGCTTGCTCGAATGCGAAATTCGTTTTAAAGGTTTACTTTACTGGATATACAGAGTGCTTCAAAAAACATGTGCCATCTCTCGTGGAGAGATTCGTCACGTAAAAACAAGATTTATTTTTCATATCAACATAGGTCCGATTCTGCTTTGTTTCGTAGCTACACGGTGTTAATAATCTTTCGATTTATTATAATTTTCTTTCAAGTACTTTTAGCGTTTCGAATGAAATTTTGAGGGTAAAAGTTCTCTCTTGATAATTTGTTGATTTCGGCCTCCTTGATGAGATAAACGCAATTTTATTAATTTGTCCTTTATCCAACTCTAACAGTAACCTTTAAAAAAATTTAATATCATTAACTTGCAAAAGTTTTAAATAAGTACTCATTGATTCCTCATCAAAGAATATGAAAAAAGTTCATATAAAAATTCAATGGCGGACTAAGCCTGTCGACCCGGTCTGTTTAGATAATGATATAGTTCTAATGTACATTTTGTAAAAATTGAATGACGTATATACAGCGTGTCCCAAGATGAGCCTGCGTTAGAAGTTTCTAGAGAACTAGAATATCCAGATACGAGATTTTGTGCATATCATTGTTTCACAATGAGGTCTATCGATTAAAAATATTTTCAATAAAGCGGCACTTTCGGAAGTACCGGAAGTTGACAGCAACTTTCTTATTTTAAATGGGTGTCCCCATTTTTATTACATACTTAAATTCTCTGTAAAATTTTATGAATTTTGATATTAAACACTCTATACCTAACGTTAATCGTTTTTGAGAAAAAAAAAAATTATAATTTTTGGAGGAAAAAAACTGCCTGTCAAAAATATGTATATCTATAGCCTAAACGTCAAATTTAGTGATTGCCACAGCCACTGTACCATAAAGAGGACATGGGGCTATCTATGTCAAAAATTAAATTGTCCGAATGTCATATAATAATGGCCGCAGCTGTCATGGAATTGAGCGATTAAAAAATTATCATAAATCATTTTTTTTTTCAAATAATAATCCACTTTTTTTATTTCACTAGTGAAGAGGCTTTTGTTACTTTCGTTATTAAAATTTGTTACTTTTTGACTATATTTAAATGTTCCTGTACCTAAAATAAATCGTTTTTAAGTTATTTAAGATTTAGCTTTAAAGCGTATATTTTTCTTGATTTTAACCAGTAGCCTATGACAGTATATTATCGATCATTTCCAAGCTAACTTTGCGCTGTTTTTTTTTCGATCGTACGGTATATTATTAAAATATCAACTATTAGATATCACTAAAGAACGAAAATAACGAGATATATTTATATAAATACACTTATTAAACTTTTAAGCAGCAGTAGTTATAATGTAGGAAATTCAAATACCTAATTAATTTTCTGACAGATGGAAATAAATTGTCTGACTGTTTGACACTTAATGTCAAATGAAGCTAGATAAAATCTAGAAAAATATACGTTTTCAAACTAAATCTTAAATAACTTAAAAACGATTTATTTTTGGTATAGGAACATGTCTAGTTAAAACGTAACGAATTAGAAAACCTTTGCACTAGTGAAATAAAAAAAGTGGGTTTCCATTTGAAAAAAAAAATTATGGTAATTTTTTAATCGCTCAATTCCATGACAGCTACAGCCATTATTATATGACATTTGAACAATTTAATTTTTGAAATAGATAGCCACATGTCTTTTCTTTATGTCACAGGGGTTGTGATAATCACTAAATTTGACTTATAGGCTGTACAAATTTTTTTGACAAGTAGTTTTTTTCGTCCAAAAATTTTAAATATTTTTTTCTTAAAAATGCTTCCAGGTAAATACCGCGACAAAATATCGCGACAAAATATAACTTTGTAAGTCCTCCAAGATCCGAGGGGCCCCTTCGCTATCTCAGGCCCGTGGCCCCCTTTATACTAAAGACTTCACTGCTCATCATCATGGTTGCATTGGTGCATTGGTTGTAATTTAAAATGTTTATTCAGTAAAAATAAATAATAAAACCATCGAAAAATAACTTAAAAGCTAAAATAAATAAATTCAGTCTCAAAATATATGAAAAATAATAATTATTCGATATTTTAAACTAAGAAAATTACCCCTTGATTTAATTTCCTAAATAGAAAATGCCATTGACCATTACTGGGGCCTGATAATTGATAATTAAGTAAATATCTGCTTCCGTTTATACTGTTTATAGTTGGCGTATACGTATGGTTTGCATACTCCACCTACAAACTGCTTTATAACTACTGCTTTATAACTACTGCTTTCTAACTACTGCTTTATAATTACTGAATAAAAAATTACTTATTAAGATTCGGAGGCCCCCTAAAAGACGGGGCCCGGGGCGGACCGCCCCTTCCGCCCCCCCCCTTAAGCCGCCACTGTAAAAATTGGTATGGATATTGTATAGTTTTAGAATTATTACAGGATGTTAAAACTTTTTAAAATTATTTTTTTTGTAATTATTTTAAATACCATTAATTTTTTATCTGGAATTGCTGTGGGTTGGACTAAAAGTAATAATAACTAACAGTAATAATATTTAATAATAAATTAGGTATAATATATAATTTATTAATTTTGTTTTTATTTTTATTTTATTAATTGTGATTAATAAAATTGCGTTTATCTCATCAAGGAGGCCAAATTCGACAAAATATCAACAGATAACTTTTAATGGGCATTAAACGGCCTACACAATTTTGATATCAAAAGAAAATAGTCAGTGGCGTACATGTTTTTTTTTTGAAAAATATTCTAGTGATAACCCATTTGCACGTCCCTGATAAATTTATCGACACTTTTTTAGCATTAAAATATGTAGCACTTACAGTAACTTTTATCCTCAAAATTTCATTCAAATCACTAAAAGTACTTGGAAGAAAACGATAACAGATCGAAAGATTATTAAGATTTTAACACCCTGTAGCTACGAAACAAAGCAGAATCGGATCTATGTTGATATCAAAAGTAAATCTTATTTTTACGTGAAGGAATCTCCCCACGGGAGATGGCACATGCTTTTTTAAATACCCTGTATAGGATTTTTCGCCATAAGAAAAATTGATGTGTAACTTTTTTTGGAGACACCCTGTAGAACTGTATATATTTTTTTTTTAAATGCCTTAAATTAACCTACATGTGCTCCCGAAATTTCACTTCAATATAAACTGTCGTTCTCCTTGGAGCTTGCACTTCATATCGGAGGCGCCCACCCTGTATTATATTATTTCATCCTATATTAATAAATCAGTAGATTTAGGGATTTATTGTTAGACGCGACAACCTCGCACTAACAGTGGCCATTTTTGTAGAATCTCCTTAGTTAAAGCGAATAATAAGTAAAAGGGGAATTAATTCCCTTTATTTTTTTTATTTCTTGCTTATTTCCATCTCTTTGTAGCAAAGCAACTTGCGTGAACGTATATGGCAAGACCGCTGTTCGTTTCTGTGAAAACTGATGATGGCTGTCCGGTTACCGCTCAATTAGAACCGTTTTTTAGCCTTATTTCGACGTAATTAGCCGGGCAAGGCGATCTGGCAACAATGCCATATAGAGAAAAGCGAGTTTTTCTAACCAAGGTGTGTATTTTACGTTCGAATTTACATATAGTAAGGATATACGGAGCGACCAACAATGATTGAAACTGTAGATTGTATAGGAGAATATATTGCTAGTACCGCATTTACACAATGAGTGGAAAGTGAAGCCAAATAAAAGAAATAGGAATATCAATCTTGCATAAGTCTATCCTTTTCGTTCAACAGGATTTTCATGCGCACGCGCCAAATAAAACGATCTGATTCGTCTACTTCATCGCTGAACGCTGTCGCCTGCCCGCGCACTATTTTATATAAATTTTTTATTGGTAATGGCATTATTTCAACATGTTATTTTAGATATTCATCGTATCTATCCGTTTCTTGTTTTTGTTTAAATATGTCAGAGATTAAATTTAAATTTATAAGTAAAGGCGCGAATAGTCAGACGCTAAATTGATTTATGTGGTAGATAGAAACTTAGAAAACTAATTCTGTTGGTTAGTACAAAATAAATCAACTAATCGAGAAGCACTTCTCACGCTTGCGTAGTTCAAAGCGGTTGAACGAAAAAGACCGACTTATTTGGATTTTGAATAGCTCCATCTCAAAAATTTGGCTTCAATTTCTATTCCTGACTAGCGATATAGTGTAATATATACATATGCCGCGACCTTACTGTTACTCCTTTCTTGAGTTATAGCTCATCGTACAATCTCAGGGCTTTGACAAAAGCCAGTATCTGAGACGATTTTACAGAGGTTAGTTCTCCATCTCCGATATCAGTCGTACCGAAGTTTATGGAACCAATAGTTGTCATCTCGACGCACTCAGTGTTGAGGTGTTCTGGTGTTTCCCCATTTTCCCCACAGAACCTTGTAAATTTTCAAGAAGATAAAGTGAAAAAGTAAAAAAAAATTACGTCAACTGACATAATTTAGGAAAATTTTTAAACAACGGTTTTAACATCACTAATTCTACAATCCTCTATAAGACATTATTGTTAACTACTTATTTTATTGAAAAACATCTGAATAAAATCAATAAAAATCACCACAAAAAAATATTTAAAAAATAAACACAAACACCATGCAAAACCAAATGAAAATTAAAACAAAAATTCTTATAACATAATATTTTTTCTTACATATTACAGCTCAAACTGACGGCAACTTACTTCTTCCTAGAACAAAAAGAAATACAAAAAATTAGTATAACAATCAAAGCAAAAACAAACTGAAAAATTATAAAAAAAAGAATGAAATAAATCAAAAAGAAGGGTAAACATTTTAAAATTCTATTAAAAATAGGTACCTATATGGATATACTTCACAAAAGTTGAAGAGTTTTGTATAATTTACCAGAAAAAAATATAATATACAGGGTGAAACGTTTAAAAAATTAATATTTTTTTCAATTGTTATAAATAGTCGAAGTTCGTAAATTTATTTTGAACACTCTGTAGCATCTAACTCAAATTACCTTTCAATTTCTTACTTAAAAATTCGGACGTATGAATACACTATACTAGTTTAAAGGGGATCACCCTATATAATCAGAAAAGAGTTGATTGTAACTTATAGAAACAGAATTGTTTAGAAAATAATAGCCTCAAAAATTGAGTATTTTCAATTATTCAAAACTCTAGGTGTTTTAACCAAAATATAATAAAATATAGGGAAATAAAATTATATTTTCCGTGATTCCTTTTTCCAGAAATAATTGAACTTAATTGAATACCGATTTGGTGTTTTCCCAACACGATTTGATTGGAAAACAGTTAGATTGTAACAGAATTATAGGTTACAAGTGCCAGGAAAACAAAATTAATATTTAAAAACGCTACTTTTATTTGATTTGATGTTATTAAGACTTAGATTTATGGTATATTATTCAATAAAACGAATACTAAAACTAAATTATTGAATAAAATTATTATTTGTGTTGAGCTAGAACTCAATATCATATCACTTTTTTCAAGGGTTCAAATACTGGTCCTGTTTTTTCAGTTTTAAAACAAAATAAGCGGTACAACTGCTGTCTCTCCCGGGCTCTCCCTCGACACTATTAACATTTCAACTCAAACTAAGAGATACTCTGATAGAATATAAAATTCTGCATACGACAAGTATAGATTTGATTCCTGTAGAATTTTTTTAATATTTTTTTCAACGGTTCGAAGACTAGTCCTCTTTTTTCAGCTTTAAGACAAAATAAGCGGAACAACCGCTGTCTCTCCCCGGCTCTCCCTCAACACTATTAACGTTTCAGCTCAAACTAAAACATATTCTGATAGAATATAAAATTCTGCATACGACAAGCATAGTTTTGATTTCTTTAAAATTTTACTAGTATTTTTTTCAACGGTTCAAATACTGGTCTTGTTTTTTCAGCTTTAAGACAAAATAAGTGGAACAACCGCTGTCTCTCCCAGGCTCTCCCTCAACACTTTCAACATTTCACCTCAAACTAAGACATATTCTGATGGAATATAAAATTCTGCATACGACAGGCACAGTTTTGATTTCCTTAGGATTTTATTAATATTTTGTTCAACGGTTCAAATACTGGTCCTGTTTTTTCAGCTTTATGACAAAGTAAGCGGAACTACCGCTGCCTCTCCCTGGTTCTCCCTCAACAGTATTAACGTTTCGGCTCAAACTAAGACATATTCTGATAGAATATAAAATTCTGCATACAACAAGTATAATTTTGATTCCTTTAGAATTTTATTAATATTTTTTTCAAGGGTTCAAATACTGATCCTATTTTTTCAGCTTTAAGACAATATTAGCGGAACAACCGCTGCCTCTCCCGGGCTCTCCCTCAACACTATTGATATTTCAGCTCAAAGTAAGATATATTCTGATATAATATAAAATTCTGCATACGACAAGTATAGATTTGATTCCTGTAGAATTTTTTTAATATTTTTTTCAACGGTTCGAAGACTAGTCCTCTTTTTTCAGCTTTAAGACAAAATAAGCGGAACAACCGCTGTCTCTCCCGGGCTCTCCCTCAACACTATTGACATTTCAGCTCAAACTAAGACATGCTCTGATAGAATATAAAATTCTACATACGACAAGCATAGCTTTATTTCTTTTAGGATTTTATTAACATTTTTTTCAACGGTTCGAAAACTAGTCCTCTTTTTTCAGCTTTAAGACAAAATAAGCGGAACAACCGCTGTCTCTCCCGGGCTCTCCCTCAACACTATTGACATTTCAGCTCAAACTAAGACGTACTCTGATAGAATATAAAATTCTACATACGACAAGCATAGTTTTATTACTTTTAGGATTTTATTAACATTTTTTTCAACGGTTCAAATACTTGTCCTCTTTTTTCAGCTTGAAGACAAAATAAGCGGAACAACCGCTGTCTCTCCCCGGCTCTCCCTCAACGCTATTAACGTTTCAGCTCAAACTACAACATATTCTGATAGAATATAAAATTCTACATACGACAAGCATAGTTTTGATTTCTTTAAAATTTTACTAGTATTTTTTTCAACGGTTCAAATACTGGTCCTGTTTTTTCAGCTTTAAGACAAAATAAGTGGAACAACCGCTGTCTCTCCCGGGCTCTCCCTCAACACTTTCAACATTTCACCTCAAACTAAGACATATTCTGATAGAATATAAAATTCTGAATACGACAAGCACAGTTTTGATTCCCTTAGAATTTTATTAATATTTTGTTCAACGGTTCAAATACTTTTTTCAGCTTTATGACAAAGTAAGCGGAACTACCGCTGTCTCTCCCTGGTTCTCCCTCAACAGTATTAACGTTTCGGCTCAAACTAAGACATATTCTGATAGAATATAAAATTCTGCATACAACAAGTATAATTTTGATTCCTTTAGAATTCTATTAATATTTTTTTCAAGGGTTCAAATACTGATCCTATTTTTTCAGCTTTAAGACAATATTAGCGGAACAACCGCTGCCTCTCCCGGGCTCTCCCTCAACACTATTGATATTTCAGCTCAAGGTAAGATATATTCTGATAGAATATAAAATTCTGCATACGACAAGTATAGATTTGATTCCTGTAGAATTTTTTTAATATTTTTTTCAACGGTTCGAAAACTAGTCCTCTTTTTTCAGCTTTAAGACAAAATAAGCGGAACAACCGCTGTCTCTCCCGGGCTCTCCTTCAGCACTATTGACATTTCAGCTCAAACTAAGACATGGTCTGATAGAATATAAAATTCTACATACGACAAGTATAGTTTTATTTCTTTTACGATTTTATTAACATTTTTTTCAAGGGTTCGAAAACTAGTCCTCTTTTTTCAGCTTTAAGACAAAATAAGCGGAACAACCGCTGTCTCTCCCGGGCTCTCCCTCAACACTATTGACATTTCAGCTCAAACTAAGACGTACTCTGATAGAATATAAAAGTCTACATACGACAAGCATAGTTTTATTACTTTTAGGATTTTATTAACATTTTTTTCAACGGTTCAAATACTTGTCCTCTTTTTTCAGCTTGAAGACAAAATAAGCGGAACAACCGCTGTCTCTCCCCGGCTCTCCCTCAACGCTATTAACGTTTCAGCTCAAACTAAAACATATTCTGATAGAATATAAAATTCTGCATACGACAAGCATAGTTTTGATTTCTTTAAAATTTTACTAGTATTTTTTTCAAGGGTTCAGATACTGGTCCTGTTTTTTCAGCTTTAAGACAAAATAAGTGGAACAACCGCTGTCTCTCCCAGGCTCTCCCTCAACACTTTCAAGATTTCACCTCAAACTAAGACATATTCTGACAGAATATAAAATTCTGAATACGACAAGCACAGTTTTGATTCCCTTAGACTTTTATTAATATTTTGTTCAACGGTTCAAATACTGGTCCTGTTTTTTCAGCTTTATGACAAAGTAAGCGTAACTACCGCTGTCTCTCCCTGGTTCTCCCTCAACAGTATTAACGTTTCGGCTCAAACTAAGACATATTCTGATAGAATATAAAATTCTGCATACAACAAGTATAATTTTGATTCCTTTAGAATTGTATTAATATTTTTTTCAAGGGTTCAAATACTGATCCTATTTTTTCAGCTTTAAGACAATGTTAGCGGAACAACCGCTGTCTCTCCCGGGTTCTCCCTCAACCCTATTGATATTTCAGCTCAAACTAAGATATATTCTGATAGAATATAAAATTCTGCACACGACAAGCATAGCTTTGATTCCTTTAGAATTTTATTAATATTTTTTTTCAACGGTTCAAATACTGGTCCTCTTTTTTCAGCTTTAAGACAATATAAGCGGAACAAATATAGAACTCAATATCATGGGCGTAGTCACGGGGGTGCTACGTGGGGCAGTTGCTCCACCCTGGCTGGCTGGCACACGCATATCTTTATGTATATAACCCAAATTCATATCCAACCCCCAACTGTATTCATATTCAATTAAACAGATATTTTAACAATAAAAGATAATATAATTTATTTCTTACTGAAAAAACTGAACTCAGTATCCAGTTTTACATATGTTACGATTTGTTGAGCAAATAAAAAAATAATTGTTAACATTCATTGTATATAAGTTAAGCAATATTGGTACATTTGTGGCACTCTGATTGCAATAATACGATTTGTTTCCTGTATTTTGCATTATCTGGCAGTAAAAAAGAAATAATGCTCAAATTTACTTTGACATTTTAAAGCAATATCTTCAGATTTACGAAAATGCCACACCTCGCTCACAATGAGAAGCAGATACTTACAGAGGATTATGTTGCCATTAAAAGAGACATCGCCCTGTAGTTTACGATGACGCTTCCCAAAAAGCAGATTTTTATTATTATTTTTTCAAAAAAACGTCTGAAAGGTTATATTAGGTTATCACAATAAGTTTATAGCTTTATTTGTTCGTTCAAAATACCCACCTATTTCTTAAAGACGACCTATGTGGTCAATTTATCAATATCTATCTGGTCAATTTTTTCGTTTTCAAAATGAAAAAAAATATATTTTTATTAAAAAAAATATTTATATAAATTCTCTAAATAATTTCATTAAAACCGTTCATTCTTATCCTTATCTACCCGCAACGTTTTTCCATGATTTTCCTCTATACCGAGACCCCCTTTTTCACCGATTTTCCAGACTATTACCACGGTAAAACTTAATACATCCAGCCGATAAGCTTTTAGATTTTATT